GGGAGGAGGGGAAGGAGGGAGGGGGAGGAGTACGTGTAACTATTTCAAAAACCGCTTTGAAAGAGACACTTGAAATGTTCCTTCTTGTTGTAAAAACTTTGAAGGCGTTATGATTGATTTATCTTCGTTATGAGAAAAGGTGTCAAACCCAACTTGTTAATGATATAGATTTTGGGGGGGGAGGTTTGATAAGAAATATTATCGTATGGAGAAATTTGATACGGTTTATGAAGTGTCCGGTACGAGTGTACATACGGTGTGTACATGAATATTTTGTTTTTGTTTTGGATGCATAGTACAATATGTGTGTGTTTGTGTGTTGTGTGGGCGTGTGTGCTTGTGTGTGTGTGTGTGTATGTGTGTGTGTGTGTGTGTGTGTGTGTGTGTGTGTGTGTGTGGTGTGTATGTGTGTGGTGTGTGTTGTGTCTGTGTGTGTGTGTTTGTGTTCTGTGTTGTGTGTGTGTGTGTGTGTGTCCATATATATGTATACACCTTATAATCATATCTACACAACCTGACTGGCATTTCTAAATAGATCTGCGTCTGTGAATTATAAATACATGTTTTAAACACGATAGAACTGATATAAGAACCCGTTTACTGCAATTCATTGGGAATGGTTACTTAAAAGGGGAGATGAGAGGGGGGAGGAAGGGGGAGAGGGGGGGAGGAAGGAGAGAGAAGAGGGGGAGAGAAGGGAGAGAGAAGAGGGGGAGAGGAAGGGAGAGAGAAGAGGGGAGGAGCAAGGGGGGAGAGGAGAGAGGGGAGAAGGGAGAGAGGAGAGGGGGGGAGGAAGGGAGAGGAGAGAGGGAGAAGGGGAGAGAGGGAGGAAGGGAGAGAGGAGAGGAGAGGGAGGAAGGGAGAGAGGAGAGGAGAGGGAGGAAGGGAGAGAGAAGTGGAGGAGCAAGGGGGAGGAGGGGAGAGGAGAGGGGGAGAAGGAGAGAGAGGGAGGGGAGGAAGGGAGAGGGGAGAGGGGAGGAAGGGAAAGGAGAGGAGAGCAAGGGGGGAGAGGAGAGGAGGGGAGGAAAGGGGAGAGGAGAGGGGGAGGAGAGAGGAGAGGGAGGGGGAGGAAGGGAGGAGAAGAGGGAGGAGGAAGGGGGAGATGAGAGGGGAGGGGAGGAAGGAGAAGAGGAGAGGAGGGGGAGGGGGGAGAGGAGAGGGGGGGAGAAGGGAGAGAGGAAGAGGGAGGGGAGGAAGGGAGAAGGAGAGCGAGGGAGAGAGGGGAGAGGAGAGGGGGAAGGAGAGAGGAGAGGGGAGGGGAGGAAGTGAGAAGGAGAGGGGGAGGAAGGAGAGAGGAGAGCGAGGGGAGGAAGGAGAGAGGAGAGGGCGGGAGGAAGGGAGAGGAGAGGGGGGAGGAAGGGGAGAGAGGGAGAGGGAGGGGGAGGAAGGGAGAGAGGAGAGGGGGGAGGAAGGGAGAGAGGAGAGGGGAGGGGGAGGAAGAGGAGAGGAGGGAGGGAGAGCAAGGGGGAGAGAGAGGGGGGGGGAGAAAGGGAGAGAGGAGAGGGGGGAGAAGGGAGAGAGGAGAGGGGGAAGGGAGAGGAAGAGGGGGGAGGAAGGGGAGAGAGAGAGGGAGGGGGGAGGAAGGGAGAGAGGAGAGGGGGGGAGGAAGGTGAGAAGAGGAGAGGAGGGGAGGAAGGGGAGAGAGAGAGGAGGAGAGGGGAGAGGAGAGGGGGGAGGAAGGGAGAAGGAGAGGAGGGGAGGAAGGGAAGAGAGGAGAGGGGGGAGGAAGGGAGAGAGAGAGGGAGGGGAGGAAGGGAGAGAGGAGAGGGGGGGAGGAAGGGGAGGAGGGGGGAGGAAGGAGAGAGGAGAGGGGGGGAAGAAGGGAGAGAGGAGAGGGGGGAGAGAAGGGGGGAGGCAAGGGGGAGAGCGAGAGGGGGGAGAAAGGGAGAGAGGAGAGGGGGGAGGAAGGGAGAGAGAGAGGGGGGAGGAAGGGGAGAGGAGAGGGGGGAGGAAGGAGAGAGGGAGGGAGCGGAGGAAAGGAGAGAGGAGAGGGGGGGAAGCGAGAGAAGGGGGAGGAGAGAGGGGAGAGAGGGAGGAGGGGGGGGAGGAAGAGAGGAGGGGGAGGAAGGGAGAGAGGAGAGGGGGGGAGGAAGGAGAGAGAGAGAGGGAGGGGGAGGAAGGGAGAGAGGGAGAGGGGGGAGAAGGGGAGAGAGAGGGGGGAGGAAGGGAGAGAGAGAGGGGGGGAAGAAGGAGAGAGGGAGAGGGGAGGAAGGGGAGGAGGAAGGGGAGAGGAGAGGGGGAGAAGGAGAGAGGAGGGGGGGGAGGGAAGGGAGAGAGGAGAGGGGGGGGAGGAAGGGGGAGAGGAGGGAGGAAGGGGAGAGGAGGGGGAGGGAGAGGGAGAGAGGAGAGGGGGGAGGAAGGGGAGAGGAGAGGGGAGGAGCAAGGGGGAGAGGAGAGGGGGGAGGAAGGGGGAGAGGAGAGGGGGAGGAAAGAGGAGAGGAGAGGGGGGAGAGGGAGAGAGGAGAGGGGGGGAGGAAGGGGGAGAGGAGAGGGAGGGGAGGAAGGGAGAGAGAGAGGGGGGAGGAAGGAGAGAGGAGAGGGGAGAAGGGAGAGAGGAGAAGGGGGGGAGGAAGGGAGAGAGGAGAGGGAGGAGCAAGGGGAGAGGAAGGGAGAGAGGAGCAGGAGCAGAGGGAGGAGCAAGGGAGAGAGGAGAGGGGGGAGCAGAGAGGAGAGAGGGAGGAGAGGAGAGAGAGAGGAGAAGGAGGGGAAGGAGAGGGGAGAGAGGAGAGGGGGGGAGGAAGGGAGAGAGGAGAGGGGGGAGGAAGGGAGAGAGGAGAGGGGGAGGAAGGCGAGAGAGGAGAGGGGGAGGAAGGGAGAGAGGAGAGGGAGGGGAGGAGGGAGAGAGGAGAGGGAGGGGAAAGAGGAGAGGAGAAACAATTGCAGATATTTTGAATGGCATTTTATTTTGCCTAAATTCAGAGAAATTCTGCTGAAAAAATCCACAGCAAATTTGAGAATAATAATTCATATCTATATCTCTCCCTCTGTCTACTTATACATCTATCTTTGAACAAACAGATAGATAAACGGACAGTGACAGATAGATAGACAGATAAAAGATAATAGACAGATGATAGAAGGATAGAAAATATAATAAACAGATAAGCAAATAATTAGCTAGCTCCATAAATATAATAGAAATTATATATTAGTAAAAAAAAAACAATGTTAACTACAAACTAACAAACAGCATTTAAAGAAGTGGCAGCGTGCCTTGCTCTCCCCATATAAGGATTCTCGACTCAGAATACAAATGAAAACACATACACTTACACGCACGTGAGTTCACATACTTACTAACACATACACCAAGGGATTTAATGTAATATATATTTATGGTAAAACTAACACATACACCAAGGGAAAACAGATTTAATGTAATATATATTTATGGTAAAGAGAATGTAAGCGAGAGAGAGAGAAAGATAAATGAAAACCATAGAGGAATCTAGGGGTTAAAAATGTATATAATAAGTAATATAAAAAAAATATAAAAATAAGCAATATAAAAAAAAAAAAAAAAAATGAAAACCACAAAGAAATCTAAAGGTTAAAAATGTATATAATAAGTAATATAAAAAAAATATAAAAATAAGCAATATAAAAGATATAAAAAGCAATAGAAATATATAAAAAGGGAGAAACATCAAAACGTATTTCAAAAGTAAAAAAGATCGATTTCCTGTTCATTAAACCCTATTTACACGCTCTATCAGGCGATGCAAATAAAATGCTGGCGATCAATAAGCTTAAGGAGGATCGAAGGGCATTAAGGGGGATCCAGTAGTACCGAGAGAGGACCCAGAAGTGGAAGGAAGAGGATTGAACGCCGTCGAAAGATTCTCCCGATCCTTATACTTGTTGCGCGCCTCATCAGCTGGCGGAGAAAAGAGGATTCCAGACGTATAATAAATAAATAAATAAATAAATAAACGGTTTTAATAGAGGATTCCAGACGATAAAGAAAAATAAAAAAACGGTTTAATAGAGGTTCCAGACGTATAATAAATAAAGAAAAAATAAATAAACGGTTTTAATAGAGATTCCAGACTTATAATGCAAAAAAAAAAAAAGGTTTTAATAGAGGATTCCAGACTTATAATGAAAAAAAAACGGTTTTAATAGAGGATTCCAGACGTATAATAAAAAGAAAAAATAAATAAACGGTTTTAATAGAGGGATTCCAGACGTATAATGAAAAAAAAAAACGAGATAATAGAGGATTCCAGACTTATAATAAATAAACGGTTTTAATAGAGGATTCCAGACTTATAATGAAAAAAAACGGTTTTAACAGAGGATTCCAGACGTATAATAAATAAAGAAAAAATAAATAAACGGTTTTAATAGAGGATTCCAGACTTATAATGAAAAAATTGTTTAATAGAGGATTCCAGACGTATAATAAAAAAGATAAAAAAAAAAAAACGGTTTTAATAGAGGATTCCAGACGTATAATAAATAAAGAAAAAATAAAAAAAACGCTTTTAATAGAGGATTCCAGACTTATAATAAATAAAAACCGGTTTTAATTACGAAGATCGCCGTAGAGGAGGTTCAAAGGCCGTTCAAGCACAGACGACGTAGGGCAAGAAAGGGGTTCTAATCACCAACAACCTTCCCTGGGTTTCATTAGCGAGCCAAAGGACCTGGAAGAGGGAGAGGGAGGGGGATCAATCAACTCTTTTCGAAAAAAAAAAAAAAAAAAAAAAAAAAAACGGGAGGAAGAACGAGTAATGAAGACGACGTAGCTAAAGAAAGAGGGAAGAGAAGGGGAGACGAAGAGAGAAGAGAAAGAAATTCGTCTTTCTCTCTCTCTTTTTTTCCACGTAGTTGACAGGAGGAACGAGTGATGAAGACGACGTAGCTAAAGAAAGAGGAAGAGAAGGGGAGACGAAGAGAGAAGAGAAATTCATCTTTCTCTCTCTCTTTTTTTCCACGTAGTTGACGAGAGACGAGCCGAGTCGCAAGGAAAGGAATGGGCGACAAGTAAGGGAGTT